GCGTGCATGACCGTGCATAATACACATAAATTTACATGTTGTATATATAAAAATATATACATGAACATACAAGAAACTCTTGAGGTGTTAAACAAAACAAAAAATAATGCAATATAAAGAACAAGAAGTCATAAGTTAAATACCCTTGTAGACACATACATATAGCATATAAAAGCTAATTTTTAACATATTTATCATATATAGCTAAAAAAAAATATAGCAGTCTGATTTTGCTCCTTGGTAAGGAAAATGAGAGAACTCGTATATGCCAAGTTTGGTAAAGATATAATGAAAAACAAAAAGTTTTCCATAAAGTACCGATCAGAATGTGGTTGTAATTTTCAATGCCTTATACGTTTCATGTGAAGGGTATAAAAAAGTCAAATGGATATTTTCATAGCTAAACCAAAATCTATTGTCAAGTTTAAAGAAGTATCCCCTAAGGTAAATATCCAGATAAAAATATTCATATTAAATTTACAAATTTATAATTATTATTATTAAACTCTTGATTTGAACAAGGTTAGTCTCTACAAGGCGATTCTTAATCTAATATGTACATACGCTATGCAGCATTGGGGAACAGCAAGCAATTTCAACATAGAAATACTTTAAAGATATCAGTCTATGACCAAAAGAACTATTTAAGGTGCTCCTTGGTATATACGCAACTATGATATTCATAAGGACCTAAACATGCCCTTTTGTAGAAATGGAATAAATAGATGTGCTGTGAGCTATTTTAATAGCTCACACAATCATAAAATAATTTAGCTCTGGATCTCTTGAACAATAGACGGAACACACGACGCTTACAAAAGAAACTATAAGGTAAGAAATATTGTATGAACTCATCGGAGCTCAAACAAACCTGTTAAGTTTTATTGTATCCTACTTTTTTTTTAAGCAATTTGTTTATTGTCTTTAGACATATTACACATAAAAACCGAGTTGAAAATAAATAAGTTTTAGATTCATCAGAAAAGCGAAATATAAAAAATTACAGTTTCGATCCGTCAAAATTTATAGAAAATATCGAATTACAATTTGATTCATATTTTACATCAAATTTTAAAACGTTTATATTTATATATCTCCTTTGTTGTTAAAGCCTTTCATTTTGTTGGTCGTAGTAATAGTAGAATTATAATTTTATATAAAAAATCTGACAAACACCATTAGACCGAAACAAAATCCCTACAACCCCAATAAGGTAAGGGTATATTTTATAGTCAAGCACCTGTTTATCATGATGTCAAAAGAATAGCGCAAGTTAAGCTTAATTTAAACATTTAACAGAGATTCAATTAATTTCGTCAATTGAAAAATAATTTTTCATTTAATCTGTTAATGCTTTAACAACATTTGCTAATGACATTGTATGTATTCAGTAGCAAGTATTTATTTGATTTACAAAATTTGTCTGATTATATTTGCTGCAAATTTATGTTTTCAAAACAATTGAAAACCCGATAAGGTAAATTTTAAATAGTACCATAATCTCTGTAAAAAAAATCTGTGTCAAATATTCAGCATTCAAATAATTCTTTTTTTTATAAAGGCCAAGAAGTCTAGCGAGTAAATCAACTCGAGCGGACAGGCAAGTGCACAGCGAGGTCTTTACTAGTGATGGCAGCGTGAGTAGCATGAGAATGCGATGTAGACTATCAAGAATAAACAGGATACATTTTTAACGTTTTAACCAAAAATATAGCTATATGCTATTAAACATCTCTTATACGAATAAATCGGCTAAATTCTTATTATATGACACTCCACAAGTATTCAAAGAAAAGGCTAAATTTTTAACAAACAACTAATAGCTTAATGCTATGAAACTTTTCGAGTGTACATTTAGTAAACGTTTTTTAATATGCGAAAACAAACGTAAATGCGACTAAAAATGTCTTAACGCTGAATAAAATAAAATTTTCTAGAAACACTTGGAACAATTAGCTAAAAACATCATGTTATTTATTTGCTTATAACTAAAAAGTAGCACTTTGTAAACACCGCACAAAAAAGGGTAAACAAATGACTACAATTAGAGTTAAATACGCGCCCATTCAAAAGGTGTTTTGTCAATATTTTTGATTTACGTGAGCGTTTTGTTCTCGAAATATCAATTATTCAAACACGTGATGGCACAACTATCTAAGTTATCAATTATCAAAAGCAGTCATAGCTGTCGCTATCAACTGATAACTCGGCGTTATACAAATTAAATACATATTAATCAATGCCGGAGAAACAAGTTTAACAGATGTGCGCTTGGAAAACTGGCTGCTGTTTGGGCGTTTGGTTTTCCTTAAGTTATATCGGTCACAGAACCGCTTTTCAACAGCGAATCCAACCAACTGAAGTCACGTAGGCCAAATAAAATGTTTCAGTTTAATGCAAATGTTGCATATTTTTATATATAAAATTAAACAAAAAATCAGAAAATATATATAAAAATCTGGAAAAAAAAAACAACATAAACTTTACATTTTATGTGCTTAATATAATGTAAATGATTTAAGTAAATGCGTGGCCGTTACTTGAGGGGCAGGTCGGCAACACGCCTAAGGAGGCAGTCAAAAAGGGCAGATAAACAACAACAAAAATTAACTGAAAACAAAAACAACAACAAAGCAAGAGCTCCCCAGTTGTGAGTGCTCATACCCTGTTCATGAGCGAAAAGTGTCTATACTTTTTTTTAGTTCAAAACAAGACTTTTCTACGCGATTTTCAAGAATTCAAGTAACAATATAGATTATTGTAAGAAAGTGAAAATGATAGCTGCACCTAAGGTTTTGAGAAGGAACCCGAGTGACGGGGATAGAGACAGGGATACGATAGGGATAGGGATAGGGATACGATAGAGAGGGGAATAAAAAAAGTAAGACTTTCAACAAAGAAGAGAGAAAGGCCGAATGACAAAGAGAACGAAAATAAAAAAAGGTATAAGGATAGTGAGAAGTACAGAGAGCGGCTGTGATAGGGCGCATAGAGAGAGGGCAGAGAAAAGAAAAAGCGAGAGGGATGCATTTGGAATACATCTATGTAAATATAAATAGCATCAAAATGTTAATGGTACTTGACGTTATGAAAATCACATAGAAGGGCGATCTCTAAATATAATCAACGGTCAATGTAGTACGCCAACTTTGGGAGTAAAATCAGTTTATCTGCGTATGCTTTACTATAGCCTACATTTTAGGTTAATGTTCAGTCACACTTATCTATATAAAGTCAACAGCTATTTTTTCTGCAGCATACATAAACACAACTTGACAAAGCTCTTTTTAAACATCCACAGAAGGTTACAGGGTATCAAAACAAAAAAACCAAACAAAAACAAAACAAAACAAACTGATAAAACAAAACTGACAACAACAAAAAAAAACATAACAAAAACTGGTTACTGGTTGCTGCTGAAGACAACAGGTTTTTCTTCCCTTTTTTTTTTGTTTAATTTTATAAATAAACGCAGAAAAATGCGTAGCACTGATGATTAAAGAAGAGGGGGGAAAACCACATACAGGCAGGCAAAAAAAGACAACAGAATGCATTGCTCTAAATATAGAATATCAGGCGCGTAAATGGTAGTCAAGGATATTTTGATAAGCTTCCTGGTGGCGGTCAACCAAAAAGATAAGATTCAATTTTAAATGTACGTCAATTGCATCGCCCGACAAATAATTATGATTTGGCAATTTCGCTTTTGGATTGGATTTTAGTACTATTATTTCTTTTATTTTGTTTTCGTTTTAATACTTCTTCTGACATTCAAGGTAAGGTCTCGGTCAACGCGTTCGCTTTTAGTGTCTACCTTCGCCAAAGCTGTATAATTATCGCAAATGCAAAAACCAAGCGTGATTAATGATTACGTTTAGATTTCTTATAAGTATTTGAAATTTGCCCGCAACCCCCGGCTCAGCTGCGTCTATTAGTTAATACACTGAGTCATCTACACGTGTCAAAATTTCAAGTGTTACATAAATAAATATAAACACATGTATACTATATGTGATAAGAGCAAATGTTTTCTCATTTTTTGGACAAGCAGAGGGTATTTTCATTTTATCATGAAATGTGCAACCAACTCGATTAAGGTCATTTTCGATCGCATCGAGTATACATGAATATGTATATGTATACGTATATGTAATATATATATGCATATGTATATATGGATATGGAAATAACAAATCTGTATTCAGCTCAGGAAGCATGACTTTATAAGGAAATCCGCTTTTAAACCATAATATTTATATAATTAACAATTTCCTAAGTTTCATTTTTATTTTCTTTTTCGTAAAAGCTGCTATTTGTTCCTCAAAAAGACACTAGGACACGACTCTTGTAACTAAAAGACTATCAACAAAGGAATATGTCAAAATTTAGACGAAGTGTAAACAAGCTTAAATCTTTGATAACATCGATTAATTCTGTGTTTTCACGCGTTTTTTTAAATCTTTGACAAATCTTTCAAACAAACAGCTTCCTTGCCAGAGAGCTTTCCCTATGCATATTTACATTAACATACATATGTATATGTCGACTACGGCAATAGCATAAGGTAGAAAAACGGTCACACTTTAACATTTCTTTAAATAGCCTGAGCAAAAAGTAGGATTCATAACTGTTGTAATAGTGAAAAGGGTTTTTAGCGTAACAACCCTATGAACTGCAACAGGCCGAAGCTAAAATCCCAAATAGGTGCACATTAGGGTGAGCAATTATAGTGGATAGTAAAAAGCGTCAACCCTATTGAAAATATCCGCAGCTAACGTCATTGAAGCAACAGCGTCGACAGCAACAACAGCGACGCTGACGACGACAACGCAGCAGCAGCAGCAACAGCAGCAGCTGAAGAAAAAGAAAGCAAAACGCTTATGCAATAGGCAACAAACAGCCCATCCAACACAGATCACATGGCAGGAGCGTAGATTATTTATTAGTCTGTCTGGCAGGAGAAGGTGGGGTGAATTTAAATTAGGATGACCATAACTCACCTTCGTTTCTCCTTAGGCTTCCCGCTGGCTGTCAAAGCAGCGCCTGCAGCAGCAGCGGGCGGCGACTTGTCTCCAGCGTTGACAGCGACGTTGGCGCTTGACGACGTCTGTGCAGCAGCGGCAGCGGCGCTCCGTTGCTTTTGAGCCTCCGCTGCCGCATCGATTGTATCAATTAACGAAACCATTTCCTATGAAATGATGAAGCCTCAGCAGCATTCAAATATGTAAATATAATGCTGGCTGTTAACTATTCTATTTTTCCTCTTTGTCGTTGCTAATCACTGTTATTGCCGTTACCGTCCTGTTAATTGTGTTCTTGCTGTTGAGACTCTTCGTTATAATTTTTGTATTGTTGATTTTATTTTTGTGAATTAAAAAACTACCCAATGGAAGTACTTTGTATATTTTCGAATTCCCCTTTCCGTCGTTCGTATGCACACTAATACGTTACTGCGTATGTACGTAGTTGCTCGTGTGTGCTTGTGGGTATATTTTTGTCTGTGTGCAGCACTAACTTTTTGACTCCACGGGAACTGATTTTTAAGAAAACACTGTTGTGAAATTTTTAGGCATAGAGATATAAATATTTATTCGAAAGCAATCTGCATAACACTCACTACACTGGCGGCTGTTGGTAATTGGACTTTCTATTTTATTACTGATTTCGTAGCGCGCTCGAACTGCGATTGCCACAAGGTTATTTGCTTGTTTTGATTTATATATTTGGCCTGTAGTCGGATTGATTGCACTTTAGCCCCAAACACTATTGCACTTTAAAATTTTGCACAGATTTGATATTGAATTCACGTTTTAACGTTTCACATGTGAGATTAATTAACACATAAAGCATTTTATAATGCTTTTAACAACATTTTCGTTACGCTTTTCACAATTGTGTTATTTTTCTTATGGTGGTCGGCCGATTAAGTGTGGTGGCCAGCCGATTACTAGATGACACTAATGAACTGCAACAGTGAGTCAGATGTTTTTTGTTAAATATACTGGAAAATACCAAAAACAAATGAATGTTGAACAGCTTTAATAGCGCTTAAAATTTTTAAAGTAAAAGCTACAACTTTAATATATGCTTAAATATTGAAAATAAGATAAGCGAAGGTTTATTTTAACACAAATTCCAGGCTAGCTACAAAAAAGAAGCACATTTTTGTTACTTAGCTAAAGTCGCAAGGTATTAAAACAGCTGTTAAGTGGGATGAAACAAAACTCTAACAGCTGATGTAATGTTATGTTATTATTGAGAGCTATGTGATCCATATGCAACCTGTTAATCAATAAAAACAATCTGTTACCATTTTCAACTATTTTGTTCATTTATCTTATTCCACTTTCGACATGGCATTGGTGTTAGTTATATGTGTATCTGCTGCCGCAGCCGCAGCAGCTCCAGCACCGCCTGAGAGTTCATCAACTTCCTTAACACTGGAGCTTGTGTCCGAATTCATAACGTCACCTAGGGCATCTTCATCATCATCTCCACCATTCGCCTTGTTATAGACTGTCGGATATTGCTGGAAGCAGTCCTGCATTTTGCGGAATGCCTCATAGCAATCGGAGCCCTTAGGATCCGCTTCGCTGTAGTGGAAACATGAAAACGCCTCTCGAAAGTCAACACCGCAAGGTCCCGTTGCCATGCCGCCCAAACACGGACAGCTCCAATTAATGCTGCCATCCTTGGTAATTAGACCCTGAGGTGGCTCTGGAGCAGGTAGCTCAACGGTACTGGGTGTAGAATGGTCCTCCTTAGTGGCAAAGATTACCTTATCCTTTCCAAAGACCTTACAATACGAGAACGCCATGCTTATAGCTGACAATCGTCTATCTGCGCTTCTTCACAGCTATCGTTTTCTCCAATATCCTTCTGAAAGTCCAGGGGCGTTTTAGATGTTTTTAAAACTTGAAAATGACAGGGCACTTCCTGGAAATGCCCAATCAATGCAATTGCTGTTTGCGTGCGCTTAAAAAACTCTTCGGGCACCCGGAAAACAACACGTCGCTGCTCTACGCTAAATTTGATTATATCCAAACTGGTCTTCCCGCCAATTTCACCAAAGAAACTTTCTAGGGAGTTTAAAACGCAGCCCCGGAAATAGATGGGGGTCAGCTCAACGGTATCAAAATCACGAAATTTCCTACAGAAGACGAAGTGTTAAATAATATGCTTGTGGGGTAACTCTGGTACAACAACAGACACGTGTGCTGTTAACTGTGCTCAGTTTTTAATGCCCATTCTACTCACAGTTGAACATCAAAGTAATGATATCCTATCATACTTCTCTTAACAACTTCGTCACAGAACTTCTAATGCAGCGCGGCTTTTAATTGCTCTAAATGCAAGAAAACACGTTGTAAATGCCGCTCTTTGTTTTTATGTAATTGCTTATTTCGCTTCTGCTTGTTTCTTTCTTAACGTTCCGGTTCTTCTTCTTAGTCTGATGTTTCTTACATACGAACAGCTGATAAATGCGTTGGTCTTGTGAATGGTACAAAAAATGTTTACAACATTTCACAACAAAGCGCGCGTATTTTTAATAAATCTGGCAGCAAACATTTTTAAAATTTTGAAAGGAATTTAATAAAACAAAAGCATCATTGACGAGTTGCACGTCGTATCAAAATGGAGCAAAAGCAACGCACAGCTCAGAAGCAACCAGACCTGGCCACTGGCACCACGGCCGATGTCTCCGAAGATGAGGAGGACGCGGGGCCGCTGGATGTGCTTAAACTGCAGGTAAAGTCGCGCACCTAGGCCAATTGTCACATTTATATATATAGAGATAATCTTATATACAGGGCAATAACATCAATCCCAGGGACATTAAGCTGCTGCAGCAGGCCAGTTTGCATACTGTGGAGTCGGTTACATATGCGACGCGACGGCAGCTGCTGAACATCAAAGGCCTGGGCGAGTCCAAGGTGGATCACATTATGAAGGAGGCCTCGAAGCTGGTGCCCCTAAGCTTTACCAGCGCACGCACCTTTCACCAGATGCGCTCCGAAGTTGTGATGCTCACAACTGGCTCCAAGGAGCTGGACAAGCTGCTTGGCGGTGGCATTGAGACGGGCTCGATTACCGAAATCTTCGGGGAGTTTCGTTGCGGCAAAACACAAATCTGCCATACGCTGGCCGTCACTTGTCAGTTGCCCATCAGTCAGAATGGCGGCGAGGGCAAAGCCTTGTATATTGATACGGAGGGCACATTCCGGCCGGAACGTTTGTCGGCCATTGCGCAGCGCTACAACATGGAGGAGGCTGATGTTCTCGACAATGTGGCCTGTGCGCGTGCCCACAACACGGATCAGCAGACTAAACTGGTTCAAATGGCAGCTGGCATGATGTTTGAATCAAGGTTCGTACTGGAATTAAAGTCTATCCATATCAAAAATTGTCCTGGCTGAGTGATTAAGGCCACTAGGGTAATTTCCTGTTGTAGCAAAGATTGGTCTATAGTCGAAGTAACAGTAGCTGAGCTGTTTCTGTGGACCTGCGTTTCCTGCAAGCGTGTTTTAATTTAGGACCTAGTAGCCTCTTCATTGGCTTTAGAATGAAAGACAGCAGGCTGATCGGTCGATTGCCTACCTTGGGTTAAACTCCACGGTAGACGCAAGCCACGTTTCTCGTAGTTCTCCAATACTAAACACTCTATACTCTCCTCGAATTTCAGATACGCCCTAATCATTGTGGACAGTGCAATGGCTCTTTACCGCTCCGAGTACATTGGACGAGGCGAGCTAGCAGCTCGTCAAAATCATTTGGGTCTATTTCTGCGCATGCTGCAGCGTCTGGCGGATGAGTTTGGTGTCGCGGTGGTCATAACGAATCAGGTGACGGCCCAAGTAGATGGCGGCGCGTCCATGTTTGCAGCGGATGCTAAGAAACCAATTGGGGGTCACATCATGGCACACGCATCAACAACCCGTCTATATCTGCGCAAGGGCAAGGGGGATGCACGTATTTGCAAGATCTACGATTCTCCCTGCTTGCCCGAATCGGAGGCCATGTTTGCCATACTACCCGAGGGCATTGGTGATGTCAAGGAAAACGATTAATTAATTTGATGATTGAATTCATGAAATATATGCAAAGCTAAGCTCATACTTGATATTTAACGATTGAACAGATATTTTGATAATGATTTGTAGGATATGAATAAAAGAAATATATATACATTATAGGCAATATTTGACATTTCATTCACCCTACTGTGGGCACTCGAAAATTCGAATGCTTCAAATTCAAGAATGGGTTAAAAATATTAAAATGTCTGAGATTTAAAAATTAATGATTATAATCACTATATGACATAATAATTTCTGTAAAAGTGAAATCAATTAATAATTTAATATTCAAAGCGATTAAAGCGTTCGAAATCAAATTTTAATTTCCGAAACAGTTCTCTCCAGGTTCTAATTATCGAGGGGCCACTGTACTATATACAACAACTAGCGGAATCGCTGCATTTAGATTAACGCTGTATATTCTAACAGTGTTTACTTATGTTAACATTTACGTACAGAAACAAAAGCAATTCCTTTCCATGCGTTTCAGCGCACCTCAGCTTTAATTCCGCTCGTTCCGGTACATGTAAACAATAATAGGCAATAAATTGTAGGCAAATGGAAAACAATTTGGATGAGGACAACAATGATCCTTTAGCATTGGATTCGGGCTCAGACGAAAGCATAGAATATGATGTGAGTGACTACATCGAACCAGAAATAATCATCGAAGACTGTCCGGCGCTGCGTCGCAGTAAAAGAAGCAGCAATCAACGTAGTGTGGAGGAGCAGGAGACCGACAGTTTGAGCAACCGTACCGTGCAGCTCAGTCCAAGCATAGCTCAAGCTGAAGCCGACGTGGAACCACTCTTTCCAATTACACCAAAAATGAAACAGTGCATCAAGCGCATGAAGCAGCGCATGTTGGCCACATTGAGACTCTCCGACGAGCAGCTATCCCAAAGATGCGCAAAGCGGGCAAATCAAACGCGAGAGAGTCGCCGAAGAGCAGCTAACGCTGATACTGCCTATCGACGCAAGGAGGCCGACAAGAAGATGGCCCGAACAAAGATACAGCGGGCAATGGAAACGCCAGAGCAACTGGTCGTGCGCAGAGGTAAAAAACGTGATGAAGGCCGCCGATACCGGGCCAAACGCGGGCACACCGAAACCACAGAGCAAAAGTCGGCGCGCCAGGAATATCAGCGCACGTACAGCAAGAGCCGCAAACCCATTAATTTTGTATAAATATGTATAAACTAGCAAATACTAACACGAATGTACCACTAATATATATGGTATACCTTTATGGTATATTATTACCTGTTATTATATTTTATTGAATTTGAAATTCCGCCCGTGCTTATCGTCTGTTTACTGAACTTAGCTTTGGATTATCCTCGAAGCACGAATTCTATCGACTGTAGACGTGGCAATCAGTTTGGATAAAGCATACAACCTTGCGTACAGAACACGTGTTCGATAAATTCTTACATAGATCTTTGAAAATTAGCTTATTGGTTAAAAAAAAAAGTTTTTACAACAGTTTTTTTGCTCACTAACATGCCACATGGTATCTACAGTGAGAGATGCAGCTAGCCAACTCCCGCCGTTTGGGCTCGGCATTCATTGATTGATTGAATATAAAGCAAATAAATATCGTCAAGAGTTTATTTTCTTTAATGGATCAGAATACACATATTTTCATAATTGTGTATATAACATATAAACTAAGCAATTGTATTTAATTGTGTATCGTTTGGTGCACGGATTGCTGATGCAGCTCTCAGACGTAGTGCTTATGGGTGAACATACAGGTAGAAGCGCCCGATGATGCAATTAAAACTAATAGCAAGCAACCAGTTCAATTGGCCGATCT